TCTCCGCCGACCCATCATTGAGCCCAAATACCTCGACTCTGCCTTCTTTGTGGAGCAAGGATTTGAGATCACTACCATTCCGGAGAGGGTCCATTTGGTGGGATTTGTTGAGCTTCATCGCCCGTTTGTAGCACCCATGGTTTGGGCCTTCTATCAAAATCTGAGCTACAACGAATGTGTGCTGCAATCCAAGGTCAAGGATGTCACTATAAAAATCTATCCACAGGATTGGACCAACCTTATTGGTTTTGTTCGCTTTGGCGATCTCGAGTTTGATGGCTCTGACTACCGTGGCTATGAGGAATACCAGAGAGCAGAATTCGTCTGATCCATTGTTAGAGAAGGCATTTACAAACTTGGCATGGTCATGTTCTCTCCTCTATGTCTGACAGTGCCTAACCGGATTCTCCACTATCTTATCACTCATGTCATCTCACCTAGGGGGTAATCATGCTGTGGTGCTTAACACTGACTTGTTTTTCATGTGAGCTATTCTTCATAGGGCAACCATCTATTGGCTTGACACCATCAGCCGCATCATGCTCGCAGCTCATAATCATCAGACTTCTCCACTACCATTCCCTATGCTTGTCCAAGCTATTATGGAGTATAGCCAGGTTCCCATGAATGGAGAGGCCAAGACATCCTTAAAGAACAATCATAGAATTGCAAGTACACAGCTGAAAAAGTGTGGCCTTCGCCATGTAGCAGGCGAGTGGATCTACTCCTCCACTGCTCCTACTGCTGATCCTACGGATGAGGACGCTCCTCCTGTTCATGATGATGCTATTCCTGCTGATGCTCCTGCTACTGCGGATGCTTCTATCCCTCAGGCTCCTCCCCGTGCCCTTGACCGACGTCCTTGCACTCTAGACGATATCATGGACTATCTGGTTGACATGAACGACACCATGGACAGTCGTCTCACCTGCATCGAGCATCATCTTGGCCTGCTTAACGAGGATAACGACACTGAGGGCCTCTCTCCTCCTGGCTCATCGGAGATATGACGCCCGCAATCACCTTCCTTATGCATCTCTATCTTTTTGATGTCACTGACCTCTGATGCTGACTTTTGCTTTTTGGGTTTACTTATATTATCTGGTTGGATGTTGACTTTTAATGATGCCTATGACTTTATTTATCATGATTTGCATTTCCATTTCCTATGACTTTTAAGAGCAAATCATTCAACACACAAGATCAAGATTGAATCATGCTCTTGAGAGCTTAGATCTAAATGTAAAGGTAATTGATTAATGATGCATAAATGAGCTCAAAGGATATTTTACTCTATGCATGCATTATCCATGTCATCTATCACTTAAAAAGCTTTAATTATTATGAAAAAGACCCTTGACATATTTCATAACCTCAAAACATTCTATACAAGTCAAGGAAATACATTAAAAGTGATTAGAGACTAAAAGGTATGCTTTACAACTCATAAAACTGCATAATTGATGTTCTGTCGAGAAAGTATTCGAATACTCTCTTGATTGTATTCAAATACTTGTGCTGAGAATAAAGTATTCGAATACCTTAAGAAAAGTATTTGAATACCAGTTGAAGTATTCGAATACCTCACGAATAGTATTCAAATACTTACTGGACAGTAAGCAGTATAACGGCTATAAACGGCTAGTTTTGCGAAAAGGAGTGTGCAAAGAGTCATGAAGGCTCTCCATAAATAGTGATCACTGTTCCCCTTGATGGGACACCTTTCAAAATCACAATTCTTGCTTTATTTCACATCATTTGCTTACTTTCCATCATCTTGATCATAAATCATCTTTGAGCTTTATTCTTGTGTCATTGATCAATACCTATAAGCTTCAACTTGTATAATCTGTACTTCAAGAGTACAAATCCTTTTCTAAATACTCTCATTCTGTTCATTTGTGTTGAGGGTAGTGAGACCCTAGTGAAAGAGGTTGCTCATAACCTAAGTAAGTGAGTGGAAGTGTAAATGTTTCAAGAATCTTTATTCTTGAAGGTTGTAGTGGTTTGTCAAACACCCTTGAAGCTTGATAATTAGTGGAAAGTTGAACGGGCGGTTTCAATCTGGACGTAGGTCACGGTGGTGGTGACCGAACCAGGATATATAGTGTTTGCAATCTCTCTAACTCTTTATCTCTTTACATTAGCATGTTTTGATTACTTGAACTTATTTATATCTCCACATTACATACTATTTGCTTGTATTAATTTCTATTCTCTAAGCTTTGCTTGTGCCAAATTATATTAACTCAAGAAAATCGCTTTCAAGAATGGAAGTGAGGCATTTTGTGAAAATTTCCCCCCTCTTGAGTTTGAGGCCACTTGTCCAACAGTTTAGGATAAGGAGCTCCAGCTATTAATCCTCTTTGGTTAACTTCTTTAGGTCTAAATGGATATTTATTCACTTCTAGTGAACGGACCATTATTGAGGCACTTATATAGTTACATTAGTGCAATAAAATAACCTTTTTGGAAAATGAGTGATTTCCATGTTGATACAATAATATGTTTTAGACCATACAATGATATTTGCAACTTAATGCTAAACATATATGCTGCGATTTTCATTTTTCCCAATATGGGAATCCTTCAGGGATATTTATATAAATATTATCATCAAGTGACCCTATAGTTACAATGTCCATTAAATGCATCTTAAGATGCATCATAGTTTCCATATTGATCAAGTAAAGGATTGTAATAAAATCCATTACGGGAGAATAAGAAACATAATAATTGTTATCGGGACTCTGGGAAAACACTTGTTCTTCCTTAATTGCCTCTTTTTATTCATTCCCGTCAGAATGCTTCTAGCATTCATGAATAGTTTTGGTTATATATCCAGATTATCTCGAGATAGCAAGAGCTATTGAGAAAGCAAATGAGTCGTTGATGACAGTAATAATTTTATCACATTTCCCCTGTATCAATATTGTTTATTACATATGTCTACATCAACTAAATCTTCGTTGTTTCCCATGACATCCAGATTTGGCCGTTCCTTAATCTCAAGACTGTTGTAATTATCAACTGCATTTATTTCACTAAGTTTTATTTTTTCGGGATTAACCTCTTCAGAATGAGTGATGAGTGACTTGTTTTCTTTCTTTCTTTTTTGCAGATTTATGCCTTTAGTCCCTACAGGTCATTCATGCTTTTGGTATTGACTAAACTAAAACATATTTTGTCCCATTGGAATCTCCACTTTAAGTGATGCATTCTCTACAGGAATATGAGAATTATTCACTCCATTCTGATGAGTAAATACATATGGTTTTTGTCTTCTTAAAAGTTTGCAAGTTTATGATATTTCAAACTTCAAGTTCTGTTATACTTGTATGTGGGCCAAAATAATTCATTTTATTTTATTTTTTATTCAAAAAAAATTTCTCAAGATTGACCAAGCTTCTAACTTTCTCTTCCTAATGTCGTGAAATGTCCCTCAATAAATATTTAATTAGTGAATTGTGTAATAAGCAAGTCATCCATTAGGGGCTCGAAGTACTTGATTCTATGAATCTCAAAATCTCAAATAAATGCTCAGTCATCTTTGAGGCCCCATTTTAGGATGCTAAAGAGGAGGTATATGGACATATATAGTACAACAAAAAATGCGCAAATAAGAAACATCAAGTTCACATCAACGTACAAGTTGAAGAAAGGAGTATGCTTAAAGCATCTAGGCTAGTGAACTTCTGGTTCATGGTCTTTTTTAAAAGCAATAACATATACACAAATATTACTTCATCTCTTCCCCTCATATTTCTAGAGTTTAATGATATGATATTTCTATATCGGGACCACTTTCATGTAGGGATGTGCAAAATAACCAAAATAACTGAATTGAATTGTACGTGAACTAAATTACACCTAAAAAAAATTGGATTTTAAAAAGTAATTCATGAACTAAACTGGTTTTTTCAAGTACAAATTGGTGTCATATCATGTTAATTCACAAAATAAAAAGCTCATATTTGTATTGAAGGTTTTGACATATTTTCAAATTCGCATTGTTTTCATGTCAAATGTATTCATGTTTGTGTCAGATCTCAATACAATACGAACATGACCCCCTTATGTGAACTGTCATCCCTAATGAAAGGGCCATATTTACCTTTTCTTTCTTTTTTTTATTTGATATATATATATATATATATATATATATGTTAGATAGGATTAATTTATATCAATGTAAGAATAATAAGTTTTACATCAAATTTTAACCATTGATTTTTGTGTATTTAATGGTTATGATTTATTAGAAACTAATAATTAATTAATGTGTGAAACTCAATAAATCACAACTATTAGATTCACAAAAATTAACGGTTAAAATTTGATATAAAATTTATATTCTTACACCGATATGTGTTGATCCTGTCCCTATATAATATAGGATCAATTTACACCTGAATAAAAATAATAAATCTTACTCCAAATCTTAACCATTGGTGTGAGTTGATCCTATAACTATCCCTGTCCCTATATATATATATTGCTTTTGCAATTTCAACCTAAGATCAAAAGTCTCTCCAAAAATGTTTATCCTATAATCAAATTTTCAATTTTGAAATTCAAACAGTCACTTTTAACTGGTGGTATTGCACACATAAATTTTTATTTTTATTTTTTCAATTTGATATCCTAAGACTTTAACCAATTTTCATATAACTCATAAAACTAGCACTAAAAATTTATTTACACAGGACATCGCATGAAATCAAATGACAGCAGCCAATGACAGAAAAAGAAGGGAAGAGACAGAGAGAGATAAAATTATGAATATTATATAAATTGTATTTTTGTTAGGTCAGTGAGAGAAATTGTTCATGCATAGAACATTAATTTCAAAAGTACCTTGTGGTCTATATATATATATATATATATATATATATATATATATATATATTTCTACGGCTAACTTTAGATGAAGTAATCGCACGTTGAACTCAATGGAAGCTAAACATTAAAAAATTATATACTGGATTGCGCAAGTACAAGAGTTGTATGCTTGCTTTCTAATTCACACATATGACATACCAGCTGTACAAACCCATGTATGTAACAAACAGAACCGATCATGAAATTTGCAGTACATTTTCTTTTCAAAGCAATGCATTACAAATATATATATATGTATCAGCATGCTTTTATAGATACCCATTAAACCCCGAATACATTGTGCCTGCAAAAATATCAGGTATCAAGCAGCAGCCTCATATACAACAATACTAGGTTTTTCTGTAATTGAACAACGTAAATACTATTTCTAAACAGTGATTGGTATCATAAATTCCGCTTTAACATCCATATTCCACTATTTCAGTTTCATGCTTTTCTCTGTAAGCTCTGGTCCCATCAATCTCCACCATTGTCGCATAAAATGAAGAATACTGATATATATATATATATATATATATATATATATATATATATATATTTGGGTCCTGTTTAAAACAGGTGTCCATTCACATGAAGCTCTGGTTACTTGTTTCACCTGCACCACTACTATCCAAAAGTAAAACTATTCATCAATAAAGATATAAAGAATAAGACATGATTTGAAATAAGAAGCAGCTAAGCAACTATTAACCCACCTCTTACGCTTGCTTTTGGAGCCACTAGAGGACGAAGGGTTAGTATGCCAATTCCTTTTTCTTTGATTTATGAACCAGTTATTTATCTGCTTTAATTGCAAACCTGTTTCCTGCACCAACCTAGCCTTGTCTTCTTCCTAAAAGTACATTCACGAGTGCAACTAAAATATCAGCAATTATCGAAGAGACAAATGTCCATCAATATCAACATATGTAGACCCATTCTTAGTTAGGTACATATATTAGGACAATAAACTTATAATACTGTGCTACTCAATGTACGAGTCATAGTTATCTCCTACATTAACGATATACTATATTCATCATTAGTGCTGAAAAAGTATATATTGTAGATAACTTTGAAAATAAAGGTGGTTTACATATGAATTGACACCGGCCTGTATCTATCTCTCTATGTATATGGAGCTTTTGACCCATTTAATATGAAAAAATAAATATTTTTCCAAAAGCCTAAACATTTGTTTTATGCCGGTATGTGCATTCAAGTTGCTCATAGGATGATATGCGATTTACACAAAATTGAGTGCGCACTTGAATACATGTGGTGTTCAGAGCACATTCACTTTTGTACAAGTCACGCATCTTCCCCGTCTTGATTTGATCACGCACACCTCTTATGAATGACTTGCAGCACGTGCCACGTGATAGGCACGTATCCGCTTTTGCACAAATAGCACACCTTCCCTATGTGCGATTTAAGAGGGTATACTCCCATGCGCGTCTCACTTAATTATTTTGACAAAATGTTTGGATTTTGGATCAATGAAGGAAAATATTTCCTTTTTCACATCATTATGGTCAAAAAGGTCTATAAGATCATTTTATATTGGTGTAAGTTATATTTTTCAATCTTTGTCATTAATCCCATATATATTTAACAACTTTATTTCTTTAGTTCTTTGAGCCAGATCAATAGCCAAAAATAAATATAAAATTTCTTTGTTACACCAATGTAAAAATAATCTGCCCCTGTATATAAAGATAATAATAACTTATACTAATGTGAGTCTTCAAAAACTCTACACCCTTTGTTAAACGTTTATTCTGATTGATCTAAGGTTTCTCATCTCCAATAAATTAAAACTGATACATAAAAAAATATATAGGAAATGATCAACTTTATACTAATGTAAGTCTAAAAAACACTTACATCCTTTATTAACCATTAATTCTAATAGCATCTAAGGGTTGTCATCTATGATAAATTAAAATTGTGATACCTCAAAGAATTCATGCCTAAACTTACCGTTGGATAGGGCCATTTAGAATGTGACTGCCACCAAGCTTTTAAAAGAGAGGTAGTGTCCCCCGGAAGCTTCCCCGCTCTTCTCTTTCGTAGAATTTCTTCTCTTATGTCCACAATCTTGTCCTTGTAACCCTAATCAAGAGCAAGAAATTGGGATAAGCATTCTAATTTCAATGATTCACTCATTCATGCATTGCAATATATATATTTTGTAATATTGTTAACTACCTGTTTAAGCTCATGCTTCAACTCCTGCCTCACGCGCTCCATCAAAGATCTTTCACTTTCAGTGGGAACAAGAGGGCCAAAGCTGAGACTATCAGCACCATCCATGCTTCCTTCGTATAAGTTTGCATTGCTCTCAGCCTGGTCTTCTTCATCATCGGACATAGTTGCACCAGTTCCTTCCCCAGGAGATACACCTGTTCATGCATCATATATATAGCTTCATTACATATAACTTTTCCATCTATATTGTGTATGTGCGATTAATCAAGTACTTTTCTATGAGAGGCTGCATACAAGTTATTCATTAGAATCTTAAATTTGTATCCCAATTCATGTCATTGTTTCTTTAGTTTTTACACGTACATACAAATTAAACTACAATAACTGATTCCTGGTCACATATGTTGCTAACACCCTTGTGAGCAATGGAAAGCCGAAGCTCAAAGATCAATGACATGGCTCCTGTATTCTGAAACTATAGATCATGTTCCTCTCCGTCAACACGCTTGCATGCAAGGAAAAAACCTTTCATAAAAGGTTCATTGTACCACCAATATAAAAACCTTAATAGGTTTAGAAATAATGTGCACACTAAAAAATTTATATTATTATTACATCACACTTTTTTCAAATGATAAGATTTAAAAAAACACGTTTTAACATTTTTTTTTTTTTATCGATTTTTAGTGTGCAAATATCATTACTTTAAAATGCAAAGCAACTTTTATTTATTTTGATATGTATAATTATCCTTCCTTACCAAAAGAATATTTTATTTTTTTTCATTTTTATTTACTCCACTTTTTTATTTGTATTTATTCACTCAACTTTTATGCATCCAATAACAAGGGTAAAACATAAGATTTTTGTCTCCATTAGCGAAAGTCCCTCTCTCAAGTTGGATCAAAATTAAATTCTTAAAAATATGGATCAACGGGGTGACATTTTGGAAAGGGGGGGGAAGGCTAGCACCCTGTTGGTTGTGCAGCTTTCCAATTCATACTTTTTTATTTCCGTTCCTTCAATTTTATTTTACTCCTTCCTTGTGAGAGTGATAATTTAAAAGACACAATAACATGGAGGATTCAAACAAAGACTTTTGTTATAGTTGAAACTTACCAGTCAAGCTTTGTAGAGACTGCTCGAGCTCCCAGCAAGCCATAACAGCTTCCATGGCATGAACGCGAACATGTTGTTGCAATTGTTCTTTAAAAGCGCAAAGCAATAGAACATAATGCGTCTACAACAAAGATAAGAGCAAAACTTACAAATTAAGGAGCTTCATATATAAATAAGGACATTTTTCTTAAAAAGTAAACTCGAGACAATATTCGAAAGTAATAAGGAGAAAACTAGAACAGTCAGAAGAAGATAAACGAAATTGATTATATATGGTGCAAAATGTCAATAAATGATTAATTTTCCTGTAATTCAGTAATAAGGTAAACTTGAATAAGTGACTTAGTAATAAGCTAGATCATGATGTCTAAGTCAATGCAAGAACAAGCATTAATAGAAAAGGAAAGATAGTAACACACTTTTAACACTCTTTTATATGCTCTCATTAGATAACCTGAACTCACTTTTTATTAAGTAATATTTATATAAAATTCATGTAATTATAAAGAGTGTGCTAAAGAATATATTTTTATTATTTCTCTTTTTTAGTAAAATTTTAAAAATTATTCAATATTAAAAATTTTATCATCTTTGCCTCTCCCCGATCATTGTCTGAAGTTAGTAACAAGTTTCAACGAACGTTGAAAATGAATCAAATTAGATTGATTTGTGCATTAACAAGAAGATTCCCAAACTGCCACCGACTTCAGGACAAGTTGTACATATCGAATTAGTATAGAATGAACAAGGTCCCATTATTGCTTCATTATTGTACTTGGGAAAACAAGTAACGTAAACGAGGGAGAAAGGGTCGAGAGAACTTCGAGTTGGTATCTAAGAACATATTCGACAAGAACTCAAAAACTAAACCACAAAATTAAGTTTCAGCCAAAAAGAAAAGAAAAAAACGAAGTGAACCATCGAACAAGTGGGGAAGGTTATGACAACATGAAGATTCTAGAAGAAAAGCACTCTTAAATTAAAGGGAACACCTCAACACCATCAAGTACCATCAAGTGGCGCTACACCAGGACAAATCAGATTCACTGACTCGCTGGTCCTACTACAGTCCATCATTAAAAATTGTTACTTTTCCTTCGTGAATTCTGCACCTAGCACCTACAATCATCTAACTGATCCACCCTAATTGATAGCGCCCCTCCTTTTATTTTTATTTTTATTTTTATTTTTATTTTAAACAACAAACTTCAAAAAATCAAAAACGGAAGGTCTAAACTTAGCATAACAAGGGGCCAAAAAATTATTCAAAAAAATAAAAAGATAAAAGATCTTACGTTTGCGATTTAACAAACGCTAGAATTAACGACATTTGTCAAAGCATAACAAATTCCCAGAGGAAAAAGAAGCTCAATAGTTAATACTACACACCAAGAACACAAAAAAAAAAAAAAAAAAAAAAAACTAGACAAGAAACGAAGACAACCTTAAATCAAATCATTCAATTAACGTAGTGGGACAACACACATGAATAATAGGATTAATGATAAAAGGTAGAAAAATAATAGGTTTTGAGATAAGGTAAAAAGACAAACCATGAATTGATCAAGTTCCTTCTCATCAACAACTCCATTTCCAAGGCCAGAGTACTTGTCAACCACGCGCTGCGATTGTTGAAGCTGAGCATCGATCCGAGGAAGCTGGTCAACGGGAGTGGCAATCCTCAAACACGAAACGTGAGCCGATAACAGTTGATCGTAAAGAGGGTGTCCCAAAATGTCTGCTTTGTATTCTGCCAAATCCTCCGATTCGCAATTACTCTCCGTCCGGTTCCGATCCATGCTTTTCTCTGACCCCATCATGCCCCGAACGTCGTCGTTTTGCACTGTTGAGTCCGGTTGCAAGTGGAGGAAATTCTGTTGCCGAAGGGTCGCCGCGTTGTTGAGCCACGTCGGAGCTGCTCCTCCGCCGCCTCCGCCGGCAGAGAGAGGTAGAAGCCTCTGCATGTCTCTTCCCTGACTTAACTGTTGCTCGTCCGTGAATTGCTGAAAAGTGATTTCGTGGGGTAGATGGTCCTGAAAAGCCATTTTTGCATAAGCACTTTTTTTTTTTTTTTTTTTTTGTTTAAAAAAAAAAATTCTTGTTCTTCCCACTGCCACTACATTTGAATGGATTTCATGAGACTGGGATGGAAAAGCAGAACAAAAAAGCTGAAAGTTGAGAACTTGAAGTGGGAAAAATCACGGTGAGGAGAGGGGGGAGTGAAAGGTAGGGGCGGTGAAAGGAAGGAAGGAAGAAGAGGTTTGGAAAAGCACTTTTTTAAGGGGGGAGACTTTTTGAAGGGAAGACACGAAGATCGAAGGAGAGAAAACAAATCAAGGGTGGGATTGATGATAACGTGGAGGGATTTGTGGTACCACCTTATTGGAGATTTTCTTGTAATAAGACAAGGATTGATCAATGATGTTGGGGGCAGCTAATGACATTATTATTTGTTTAATGACCCTTAATAAAATAATACTATTTGCATTTTTAACTAATGTTTTGTGTCATTATTATACTTTCTTGTTTAAATCTTTTAGGATATGGTTCCGGAAGAGTACACAGTTTGCCGACGTGTTGTTTTCATTTTTTTCTTTAGCGATGGGGAAAGATATTTAAAAAAAATAAAAAAATTGTTTCACTGTTTGAACTAATTGAAAGATGAGGACGACTTTTTCTTTGAGATGAATCAGTCCTATTCCCCCTTACCTTTCTTTTTCATACAGCATAAAAAAACAGGAATGGTTCACTTAGGAAGTGCTAGGTCACATTTAGAGTATAAAATAGGGTGGCAATAGGTGATGGTAGGGATTGGCACAAGATTAGTAACAAAAATTTGATGGACACTTTTTGTGTTTCTTGTGATAGATTTATTGGAAGTGACAAGTTACTTTTTCAGTTACCTTGTTCATCTAGATTTCTCTTTAATCGTAAGATAGTTCAAAACTGTTAATGCTCTCTCTCTCTCTCTCACTCACTCATATATTCTCAACGGACCCAAAACGACGTATGAGGGGGGAGTGGCAGTGTTGTGGGCTGGCCACTACCCAACCCGAAAGCGACATGAGCACCCATGGTCGACACGTGTCCTAACGAGGTTTCTTGGACCACAACATAGTACTGCAAGATTTAGAAGCGCGAGGCAATTGTGAACGAATCAAGTTGATACACATTTAAAAGACTGAAACATTGGGCACTGAGGGTGTTGGGAGTGTGGGGCTATAACATAACTGTGTTGTGTTGTGTTGTGTTGTGTTGAGCTGAATATGAATATCAGAAGGGGGAAAAGAGAGGTGCCGGCGGCTGAGCATTGCGTGGGTGGACACACATAGAGAGAGAGATGCACGCAGACAGAGACAGAGGTCACGCGCGACTGTTTCGTGGTCCCTTTTAAGTTAAGACAAAAACTTCAAATAAAGGAAGAAGGGTTTGGGATTGTCAATTTGGGATTGTGGTGTTTGGTTGGATTGATCGGTGTGGGCCTTTACCTGAACTTGTGGGATCCACTCAACTTTCACCTTACTCGCACTTCTTGCCTCCCTTATTGCCCATACTGGTAGTCTTGTACTGTATGTTTGTACAATCCCATTTTCTATCGGCCCGCCCATCAAGATAAGGTGGGTTCGGTGTTGGTAAATTATTGGAGTAATTATAGATTTAGGTTAATCTAATGATTTGATTCACATGATCTAATTTAATTAAAAAATTTGGGTTAAGTATGCTTATCATATCCGTTCAAATTAAAACTAATTAATGTACCAAGAAAAAAAAGCTAATTAAACTTAGTTCGAGATAGAAGGATTGACGAGATATTATTGATGAATTTCCTCCTGTTGTAATAGTCGGTGGTGCAATTATAAATACTCTAACAAAGAAATTAAAGTATTAATTATTGCACAAATTAATTATTATTTTAACAGAAAAATATTTCTGTAGATAAGTTATCTGCATTTACTCCCAAAACGATGTTGTTTTGGGATTGAAATATTAAAAAATTATAATTATAAAGACTATAATAATCCTGAAATAAATTAAAATTACAAAAACACCATGATTTTTGCCCCAAAACGACATCGTATTGGGCTTACTGCAGAAAAAATGAACCCTTATTTTAATAATCAACACTACACATTATGGATGTTCATCAACCGATCCAAACTAATTCAAACCGCGGTGACCGAACCTAAAAATCGATAACCGCATAAACCGAAAAACTGAAAAATCGAAAAAAATCGCAAATTTTAATTGGATTGAATCGGTTTTTGGATTGTTAATGAAAATCGAACCAATCCAAACCGATCCAATATATTAATTTCCCTCTACCTACTTGGTCATTTCTCCATTCATAGCTCAAAAATTTCTAAACCCAAGATCCATTAACCCATCAACTAAACCCAAGAAAAAATCTAGTCACATCTCATTAATAAGATTTTATCTGTGTAGAGTTTCATATCTCATTACCTAAAAAAAATATTATCGTTTACTGATGCTTTTGTATTTCAAAAAAATTACAAAGTCAATATATACAAAAGATGTTATTTGCACAATAATTATGAAACAAATTTTAGGATTTTCAAAAAATCGAAAACCGATCCAATCCAAACCGAAAAAATTGGATTGGATCGGATCGGATTTGAAAAAAAATCCAAACCGAATGGATCGCACATGATCAAACCGAAGGGATTAGATCAAATGATTTTTGCTTTTAAAACCGATCCAATCCAGACCGCAAACACCCCTACTACACATATAAGATAAAATTATTTCTACATCTACTTTACGTATAGCAATGACAGGTGTATGGTTATGATTTCTCATATTTAATGTTTTCATTTTTTGTATGGTTATGATTACTCACATTTAATGCTTTCACGTATATATACGACAAGTATTTCACTGCTGCACGTACAGAAGCTGCAAAAATATAAACCCCCACATATAATATAGTTAATTAAATTAATATGTTACACTGCATTACATTACCCTACTCTACTTATAATTAATATGTTACACTACTCTACACCAATGATGGAAGTAGGAATTGATATGACAGGCAAAATTTTTTGTTGTTTAATCAATCTTTAATTTAGCTATGGTTTTGCAAATGTGTCATTCACAGATGTTTTTCATTTACTTTATTTTTAATATGAACGGTCTCATGAAATTACACTTCCTACTATATATATATATATATATATATATATATATATATATATATATATATATATGGTAAAATACACATCCTATTATATACTTGCAAACAAATGTTACTTCTATTTCAAAGATTTAAAGAGTTGTAAATTTATATTTTTCCCAAAAAAATATCTTTAGACAGGTTTGTAAAACGTCAAAAAGTAAGAGTAGGCTAAAAGTGTGTAAAAAGCCAACGCAATAGACCGGAAGTGATAAAAATATCAAGAATACTAGAGATGAAAGTCAGTGGACAAACAACAACGATCTTGAAAATAATGGAGTAAAAATATGCATTTTTCCGCATGCCTTCCTTTTCCTTTGTTTTTGTCTTATTTATTTTCACTGATTGAATGCTATTATGTAAACGTAACAAATAATACTTACCTATATCTCAATCTCGTTAACCTCACGTTGTAGATAAGATACACAGCCACTTCCACCTTTTCTGCTATCTCAAATAAGTCTTGTTCTTTCTTAACAGGTGTAAACCAACAACTTGAGAAAAGTGGTGTGAAGCATACCAAAGATGACATCATCAGAGACTTGTTCGTGGTGGAGAACCAAATTCGAGAATCTTAATCTTGCTGATTGAAAGCTTCGAACATGATAATGATTCAGCTGATAATACCTTTGGTCAGATGCACTTGTCGATTGAAAGCTTCAAACCTAATGATTCAGTTTATGAAATCTTGGGTCTGATGCTCTTGTCATTTTGTAAGAAACATTAATCCACTCAAGTTAACTCAAACATGGTCACAAGGCGAGGGAGGACTAAAGCTCTTGCATGTCATATGTTAGTTATGATTACATGATTTTTTGCTGTATTCTGTATCTGACCTTTCATGTACGAAGAGAATTTATGGGTGGAGACTATTCCATAAATCCTGAGTTTACTGAGATGATTAATCTCACCCTATTTGGGAACATGTTTCAGGTACTCCAGATGCTCCAGGAGAGCTCTCGCATGGCAAGAGACTCGTATAAGGTGGTCAGGTGGCCAACTGAGTAGATGTTAATTTAAGATGTTTTCGGATGACTGTATAAATATTTGGTAGCATGACGCATATGTTAGAAATTTATTTTATGGGCAATATTAATTAATTAGTTTTGTATTTAAAATTAATCGAGTTAATGGATATTTCAATATTATTATTGTAACTAGCTCATTGTGATCACATTGAATTGGGCTTCTGGCATCTGTTGTTATTGGGCCTAGTTGGGCAGCAGTGTAGGCTTTAGTGTGACCCTGGTTTTCCATGATGGGTGGATCCAGTGGACACAGACTCTTTTCTAGGTTATTAGCTAGGTCCCATCTCTAGCCTATAAATATTGGAGTTAAGCTCCATAAGCCATCATGCTCCCATCGCTGAGGCTGCCTTTATCGAAATAGGTGATAGAGAGGAAGATCTGGCATGTAGTCCTTTCAATCTTTCGACTTTGTGACGATCCAATAAGGTACACACAATCCCAACTTTGATTTCATATTGTTTAAGTATTTTATAATCATATACATGATCCAGGGTAAAATATTTCTATCAAATGCAATAATTTTTAGAAACACATATTGGAAAAGTGTTTCATGTTGTTTGAGCATGTTTGGTTCACGAGATATTATTGTTGTTTAATAATTATTATATGTTAATTATCTGCCCAAAGGGAATTTTTAATATATAATAATAAATTACATGAAGATAAATATTATTGATGGGAATATCTAATTGAAAATTATTTATCTGTCCAAAGGGGATAAATTTCTTGAAAATCACATATGATGCATTTATGTTCGAATTAAGGAGATATATAATTTATAAAATTTATCTGCCCAAAGGGGATAAATTTTAGACAATTGTATATAATTTTCTCCGTTGTTAAATCTTCATGTGATGAAAAATAATTATATATTATATACTCTGCCCAAAGGGGAGTCTATGATATTTAATTATTTTTGTTATTGCTCATGATTAATTTATTACATTATGTGTATAACTTTTGGTGATAAAGATTAACTTGTGTTAAATTCTATCAATTATGAATTTTATTTTATTTTTGGGTATATTTTGGTGCAAAATGTATTGAAAAATTAGCTCTCATTTGATATTATTGTATAATTTTGTACTCTCAACCTGTGTTGCATGCTGTAATATTTTGTTTATTGGATTGTATGCTTCCGCTTGAACTATTTACATACAAAAAAATTATTGAGGAGTGCTTCTAGTTATTTCATGCAATTTCCTGCCCAAAGGGGGTTATTGTGTGTTTTAATTGGAAGCTTAACTGTAATAAAATTATTGGAGGTGCATTGGTCTAGGTGATCTATCTGCCCAAAGGGGACAGATCTCTGAAGCCAGTGTATGCTCATTAATTGATTCATCTACATGAAAGTAAGTGGGAGTAAATATATTTTCTTAGTACTTTATGTAGATGACATTTTATTTGCTAGTAATATGTTGATTTATTGAATAAGACAATAGCCTTTTATCTAAAAGTTTTGAAAAGAAAGACCTTAGAGTAGCTTCTTTTGTATATAGAACACGAGTTCTTTAGAATCTTTTGATTCCCTTAATTAGTGGGAGTAATACTCAATGCTTGCTTTTGAATATTTTAGATTTTTTTTTTATTCCTTTGGTTAGTGGGAGTCATATTTAGTTTGTTTCTTTTCTATGCAAACTGATAATTATTTTGTGATATTTGTTTGAATTTACGTAATTGATGATGATCATCATTATTATTATTTCTCCTGTCGACTAAGAAATATATGTATGGAATAATATCTTTAAGCATGTTGTGAGCTTAAAGGTGATTGGATGTCACAAATTTTGAGATCTCATGTTGTACTGTGACATACTGGCTTATTTAAGCAAAACAATTTCATGTTGTTTAGAAATTGCAGTGATGCGATTTTATATTGTTGAGAAATCGTATCAAGAAGTGCAATTTCATGTTGTTTAGAAATTGTGGTAATGCAATTTCATGTTGTTCAGAAGTTGCATTACAGAGTGTAATTTCATGTTGCTTGGAAATTGCACTAATGTAATTTCATGTTGTTGAGAAATTACATTGAGGACCGATAAGAATTAGTGTGTCACATTGTTGATCACATTTTGGCACTAATTCTTACTACACTACTAGGCCTTGATTCATGAAGATATAATACTCATTGTATGTGAGTATGGAAGGTCATATGCTATGATATTTTCGGTATATTGATCGCCATATTCCTATGAGGAGATTATGTTGGATTGAATTGTGTTGAGATGCTGAAATTGGAATATTGTTTTTCAAAATTGTGGCCACGTAAAATTATTTTTTAGTTATTAACCCGATAGAGTCGTTTTCGAAATAAAATGATTTTCAAAATAATGTTAAATTAATTAATATAGCCCAAGTGGGAGAATGTTAGAAATTTATTTTATGGGCAATATTAATTAATTAGTTTTGTATTTAAAATTAATCGAGTTAATGGATATTTCAATATTATTATTGTAACTAGCTCATTGTGATCACATTGAATTGGGCTTCTGGCATCTGTTGTTATTGGGCCTAGTTGGGCAGCAGTGTAGGCTTTAGTGTGACCCTGGTTTTCCATGATGGGTGGATCCAGTGGACACAGACTCTTTTCTAGGTTATTAGCTAGGTCCCCTCTCTAGCCTATAAATATTGGAGTTAAGCTCCATAAGCCATCATGCTCCCATCGCTGAGGCTGCCTTTATCGAAATAGGTGATAGAGAGGAAGATCTGGCATGTAGTCCTTTCAATCTTTCGACTTTGTGACGATCCAATAAGGTACACACAATCCCAACTTTGATTTCATATTGTTTAAGTATTTTATAATCATATACATGATCCAGGGTAAAATATTTCTATCAGCATAATCATGCATATGTATAGTTTGTATATGTTTTGTAACATCCCATGTGCACCCGGCATATGCGATAAAACTTATCACATATGTTTTGTAACACCCCGAAAAAGTTCACATGCCTTTATGATTTATTTCAGAATCACCTATGTCTCTGTCTTTTTTTCTTATCACATATGCTCATGTAATTTGTAGAAAATAAAAAATCATATGGACATATGTAATAAAAAAATATATTCTTTTACAAACTACAGAGGCATATGCGATAAAAAAATCATATGAACATAACTGATTCTGAAATAAATTATAGAACCATTGGTGAATTTTTTCCTAAAATATAAATATGATTATTTTTTCTAACTGCTTATATCAAAACAATACCATTATATTAGATTATATATATTTTTTAATTTTCAATATAAAATATAATTTTATATTTATTTATTCAATTTTAACGATTTAACTGATAACTCTGTGACTCGCTACTTTAACCGAGTCAATAATCGATTCAAGTTATAAGATAACTTCCAACATGCAGTTGAAAACATGATTTTTCACCCTTCTTGTTGCACTTCTATTCAAAAGAATTTTATTTCTTTTACTTCTATACTTACGATTTTTTTTCTACTTTATTTATTTTTTGAAGTAAATAACACCGTGAAATACATGATTTAAATTAGGGGAATATTACTCTCTTGTCACATGAGAATAGTTCTCTTATGCTATAGAGAGAATCCAAGTGAGGTTACCACTAAGAAGTAAAAAGAAAAAGAAAAAAAGAGAGAGGGGATGCAATTTTTGAAGTGAGAGAACATGAAATAACTTATCTCATGTAAAATGAGAGTAGTATTTTCCTTTAAATTAATGTAAATTCCTTAACAAAACAAAAAAATCATATCAATGCAAAATCATTTACATTGTCATGAAAACTAATTAGAAAAATAAAATAAAAATAAAGGCAATATTTGTTGGCAATTTCTGAAGTGGTAGCAGGTTGCATTATCTTTTATGTAATCCAAGGTGGACCCCACTCTCAGTTCAGCAAGTTCTCCGCTGCACGAGCAAAGCGAAGAATGAACACGGTCACGACGGCTTCATGGCATACTCTCTAACACCACCACCAACCCCTCCTCCTCCCTCTCTCCGCCTCCCCCGCCGCTCCCTCCTCCTCCTCTCCACCACGACAACCACCCTCTCCCTCCCTCCCTTCCCTTCCCTCTCCTCCGCCTCCACCACGACACCACCACCACCACCCAACACCACCATCACGGACCGCGTATTCATGGACTTCAGCCTCTGCCCCAACTACTTCCTCCCCAACCGTACCCTCGGCGACAACGTGGCCACCCTCTGTACGGACTCCACCCCTTTGGGCCGTGTGGTTTTGGGCCTGTACGGAAACCTGGTCCCACTCACCGTCTCCAACTTCAAGTCCCTGTGCGTTGGTTCAAACTCCAACGCCTCTTCCTACAAGAACACACTCGTCCACAAGATTTTTCCCGGCCGTTATTTCCTCGCCGGCCGCCAGGGCCGCCCCGACAAGGGCGAGGTCCGGCCGCCGCATGACTTGGCGCGCAACACCGAAACGGTGGACCCCAGGGCCTTTTCCCTCTCCCATTCCAGACCCGGCGTCGTTTCGCTCTCGCTATCCGAAAACGACGACGACGATCAAATAAAGCTTGACCCCAGTTATCGAAACGTTGAGTTTTTTATTACCACTGGACCTGGCCCTTGCCCCCAGCTCGATAATAAGAACATTGTCTTTGGAACCGTGCTTGAAGGTAACTCTTTTTCTGTGTTCATGTCTTTCACTGTTCTCGTTATTGAGTTACTGGGCTTCCTTAGAATGTTATTTTGTTATGAGATTTCGGAATCAACATTCTTTTAAGGTAACAGAAAATTGAAAAGAATAGAACTTCCTTGAAGGGAATTGGGAATTTGGCACAATATTGGTGTTGTCATCATTAGAGGTTAACGAGCCTAGCTTCGTCTTAAAAGGCGAAGCCTGTATTTAAATGTTAAATGTGTGAGGCAAAGAAGCCTGTTACTTGTTATAAATTATTGACATGTGGCCTGACTTATTTACAAAAAAATAAAAGTCTGGTTCAGCCTGTTTAAAAAAAAATTAGACAACAAAAATTTATCTAAACAGAATATACAATCAACAACACTAGTAACTCTATAAATATTCATAAATTCAATGTATATCCAATCAGCATAATATAGAACAAAGTCATTCAAAAACTCTGTTTAACCAATAAAATGGGGTGTGAAATGGATTGAGGAGAAAGAGAAGGCTAGTACAAGTAGTATAAAAAATATAAAAATAAAAATAAAAATAATATGCTAGGCCAGCCTGTGAGGCCGAGCTTTTGAATTGGAGCCTATGGCCTTTTTAATAAACGAGCTTTTATTCAGGTTCAGGCCTGGTGCCAACAACCAATTTTAGACATATAAGCTCAGGTCTTCACGAGCCGAGCCAAAGGCCCCTGGTTTGTTTAGCACCCTAGTCATCATGTTGGAAATTTGAAGTGTGAGGGATAAATAATGAGTCCTACGTTAGGAATGAAGTAATGAACTATGGAAGAATCACACAAGTGGAAAAATCCATATAAATAAGCTTAATGTTTAGATTGGTGTGGAGTTCTTTTATTGTAGTTTGAGTTTCCTACTTTGTCCTGATGTGATTTGGAGTTCACATGTTCATTCATATATTGTAACTAAACCTGGTGAGAACGGTTATTGAATAATTATACCACTATTTTATGCATAAAACATGTTGTGTATCAACCTGTTGACATAATGACACGAGAGTTGTTAAAATATTGAAACATTTGATCCTTTTGGGGACTGATTATATGAATCGTAATTATAATCTTTATTAACAAAGGCAGTGCTCAGCTCCTAGTTGAATCTAATTGCAGGGTTGGATGTCGTCACAGCCATAGCTTCCATTCCCACATACCAACCATCTGAACGAATTCGCCAATTTAATGACTTGGCTGAATTTTTTGGAGATGAAAGGGCCCAGAATGCTCGTGGCATATGGAACAGGCCTCTTACAACTGTCTATATAAGTGACTGTGGGGAGCTAAAAGTTGCAAAGCCTTCCCTTATGCCTTCTCTGCCATAATTTCTTTCCCTGTATATATTATATTATCCCAGAGGACTGGTGTATGTAAAATCATACTCACAAATTCTTTGAAAGGAAAGGATGATGCATAAAACCTGAAGTGAACATAATGAATGACTTGAATGTTGAAACTCGAAATCTTTAGTTTAGTTCATTCATTACAAAGCTAGGACATTATAAATACAGGCAGTGAACTGAAACATTGGTATGGTATGGCAGAGTCACTTGTAAGTCAGTTATACAAACTGAATTCTTATTGTGAACATATCTGTTTCTTTCTGCTTCAGATGCCCACAAAGATTTTAGACATTTCCAGAAATGTCAAGGAGGATTTGTCTTCTTTTAAAGATAATCTCACTCAGCTTAGTTAAACTATCATGGGATTCATGGCGTCAAGCATAGTTTCCTACAATTTCATATTGTTTCAATTTCATTGTCCTTAAGGAGTATTGTTACATGAATACATAAACTTCCAAGAGAAAAGAAAAAGAATACAGATGTTGGGGATGCTTCTGTTTTGTATCTTCCGACTTCTAATTCTAACTCTTCTGGAAGAAACTCATCATCTATGATTGTATGAGCGATCCTTGTTTATATTTCCATGGTTTGTTACCTCGGTGAAGGAAGAAGATTTTGAAGCCTTTGTGGAGAGGGAGCAATCACTCCATGACCGTCTCTTGGTGAAGCCTATCATTTGCTGCTGGAAAGCACAAGAGCAACCGTGCTTTAAATTGTGCAGCTCACAGCTGCAATTTTTGTGGTATGGTCTCCGCTCTATCTCCATGCTATGCACAGATATGCTTGCATCAAAGACACATCGAAGCAGCACTTGAGCTGCTCCAATGGTCATTCTCTTCTCCCTCTTTGGTAGTTTCTTACAAAGGGTTTGTCAATGAGTGTAGATGCGTCCAAAGTGAGGGACAGTGTATGAGTTGGTGCTTATTTGAATGCTATTCAATACTTTGTATGGTTCTGTTCCTGAGTGCTTTTATAGACATGGGGACAGAGAGAGCAACAAACGAGAGAAAAATAGTGTTATTCTCCACTGAAAAACCCGAGGAAATTTGGCTTTAGAGAAATCTTAGACAAAGCAGTGAGGGGACTGAGGTTGTCTAACGATTCTGCCAAGGTAGCGGTTGTGGTTGATGTTGACGAACTCGGTCGGCAAGTGCACCGGTCGTACAAGTAATAAAGTGATAAAATAGAGTTGTCGATCCCACGAGGACTGATGACCAAGCAATAATCTATTTATTTAATTAAAGTTGGATCGATCATTAAAGGTTTTCTTGAGAATATTGTGATTAAAGTAAAAAACAGAATTTATAAACCTATTTTTTTGGTTTTTAATATTTTAGAAATTTAATTCAGAATTAATTAAAGCTAAAATAAATTGATTTAAGTTTTCAATAAAAAGGCGTAGTTAGGATTCAACTTCCCCAATGGTTTCTTAACGAGTTTGCTTACTCTTACGATTACATTCAAGATTAAATTATTAACAGCTCTTTCTATAACTAACTAAATCCCAATCCCTTGGTAATTTAATTCTTTATTCTAATCCAAAGCCTAATCCCTTAGTACTTTTTCATAAAACAAGCATTAACGCAAGAACTCACAGTTATAAAATTCACAAGTCTATCTCTAGATCATGTAAATTCCAGCAATCAACCAATCAGAATCACATACCAACATCCCTATTGTCATATATGACTCATGTGTTTATTTACGAGTGATCAAGTCATAAATAAAACTAAGCATAAATATCAGATTGATTGCATAATTTAGAAACAAGAATGTAATTCATAAGAATAAACAAACATCAACTAAGAACCCATTGGTTCTGTATCTTCCTAACTACTGAAAGTAAATTAGCTAGACATAATTATAAATGCAGAATAAAAATCTACTGTAAAAGAAACTGAGTTCATGGTAAACTTGTCTAAAAGTGATGATCAATGGTGCAGAGTTGACTCCTTCCTTCTCCTCTGCCACGATCCAGTGCTACGCTTATGCTCCTTCCTTCGATTCGTCTCAAGTGCCTTCTTTCTCCGCGTTCCAGAATGATTTTTACGGCTTCCTTCGCGTTGTATTTAAAGGGAAAATATGGGCTTTAATTTGCTGATCCGCTCGCTCCATCGGTCGCCTATGCTAAGACCTTAGCGAGCTGCTGGCCATTTTGCTCGCTCTAGCTAGCAACTTTGCTAGCTGCTCGCCCACTTGCTAGCTCTAGCTAGCAACTTTGCTAGCTACTCGCCTACTTGCTAGCTCTAGCTAGCAACTTTGCTAGCGTTACAATTTTTATTTTATTTATTATTTCATTTCTGATTTTCCATTGCTCCGCGGATTCGTTGCCTTGTTTTGTTACTTTGTTATTCCAGTATTCCAGTCTCAACAACCTGAAACAACAACAAATATTTAGAATTTGTTTATTTGTTGACAATTCATTCTGTTTTACTATTTTATTGTTTTAACACTATATTTTTAACTATTTTAGTCATTATTTGAACTCTTTTTAGCCATAAAACATAGTGTCTTAGACACTTATCAAAACATTCCCAGATTTACTCATTGTTGTCCTCAGCAATGAATTGAATTAAAAACATGGAATAATGTAAGCATGCTTAATATAAAACTAGGCAATACATCAATTTATGAATGATCAGACTTAGACAAAAAATAATAGGATTTTTAAGAACAGACAATTAACTAAGCAGACTTGAAAGTAAGTAAGTTATAAAATCGAAGTATGAGTTCAGTCAATCAAGCATAAACATTGAGTTTTAACACATCCCTCACTAGATATATCAAGTCACTCCTCACTCATCTGTCTAAGGGTAACTGTTTCACTCAATTTTTCACTGTTTCAATATTTTCATAAGCTTGATAATATTCTCACTTTCCATAATTAATTCACATGCACAAAGATCAAGAGGTCTTTATTCAGGTTGTAATGGGGTTGGGCTGAAGGTAAGATAAATAAGGAAAAATTAGCTAAAATAATTAAATACATAAAGATCATGGTAAAGTGTAAACACTCAAAAAATAATCCTTTTTCTCCTTTCCTTCCTCCTTTTTCTTTTTCAGCACTTTTATTTCTTTTTCTGTATTTTTCTTTTCTTTTTCCAACCTACAATACTTTTCTCCTTTTCATTTTCATTTTTCAACACTTTTATTTGCATAGAAACAATAAATAAGAATTAATTTTTCACCATTTTTCAACCTTTGCTTTTGCTCCCTTCGCCTAACCTCCTTTTTCACCACTTTTGAATTACATGACGAAGTACTCATGTTTACACCCTACCATGAAATTTCTATAATCCAATTTTATTTAAGGTAGACGTGTATGTAGAGTGGCTAATTAAGATGACAGGTATTAAGAACAAAAAAGGCTTAAGCTCAAGGGGCTAAACAAAGGATATCATCATGGTTGGCTTTTTGGCTAACTAGTTAAAACAATAAAATGCCTCAATCATTTCAATCATGCATGCAAATAATTACTTTAAGGAGAAACAAAGCAAGTTCTGGTAATATTTTCAACAGTAAAATGCACACTAAAAAGAGTTTTTCTGTTTAGGCTCAAACCTCACGGTTATATGTGTGCAATTCAGTAATTTATGCTCTTTCTCAATCACTCATACTGTAATTTTATTATTCTTACTGACTGTTAGACTAACTCGATCAATGTTTATTCTTAAAATAAAAAATATATTCTAAGTCATCACATCATAAATTAATTTTTCTGACTAATTCTAACTTAGCATGATTTAGTAATCCACACAGAGAAAAAAAAAATGAAATGAAATGAAGAGGAATAAGGAAGAGAATTTTCCCTGAAAATATTTGCGGCTCTTCTCATCACAGGGATCATAGTTGTACCAACTGCTACTACTGCTACTATATATATGGTGTGGTGCGTCCCCATTCCCAAATTTAGGAATTTGTTGTCCTCAGCAATTAATAAATCAAAAAGAAAGAACTGCACACATCAACTCAAAAATATCATCAGATAAAGTCAGTAGTAGCAATCATGCTCATAACAGAGTGAGAAAATAAAATCTGTACATCACCAGAGTCATCACTAATCAAAATAGATAAACAAAAGAAAAATAAAACTAAAATGGTCCTAAAAAGAAAATAAAATCTGCTGGCATCCTAAAATAAACTAAAATAATTAACTTAAAAGCGATAAATTCTTAGGCTGCCTCCTAAGAGCGCTTGTTTAACGTCATTAGCTTGACGTTACAGCTTCATTAATCATGGCGGCTTGTAGCCGGAATTCAAAGATGATGCCATTCCTTTTATCATAAATATTGCTTTGCCGTAATAGTGCTCTCGTGCATATGGGCTAGAAGGTTTGGCCTCAAGAACTCTATACTTAGTCTTGATGTTTGCCATCTTCACCTCCGGCTTGCAACTCTCATCTGGCTTATGATCTTTATTTTCTTCTTCTTCAGCCTTCTTTTCCTCAATAAAGAAAATTTTCTCTGGCTGAGTTGTAGGTGGTGGAGTCTCTTTTTCAAACATTCTAAGAATAGCCCTTTCTCCTTCCACCCTTAAGATCAATTCACCTTTAGGCACATCAATTAGTGCTCCGGAGGTTGCTAAGAAAGGTCTCCCAAAGATCATGGGAACAGTAGTGTCCTCCTCTATATCCAAGATAACAAAGTCCATCGGGAAGATGAACTTGTCCACCTTAACAAGTATGTCCTCTATTACTCCATATGCTTGCTTGGTGGAGCGGTCAGCTAGTTGCAGAATCATATTGATCGGCTTCACTTCTGTGATTCCCAGCTTTTTCATCATAGATAATGGCATTACGTTGATGCTAGCACCTAAATCACATAAAACTCTCTCTATTGTCATCGAGCCAATCGTGCAAGGGATACTAAAACTCCCTGGATCCTTTAATTTCGGAGGTAAATTCTTCTGTGTGATTGCACCACACTCCTCTGTCAAAATAGTGGATCCTTCTACTGTGAGCTTCCGCTTCTTGGTTAGGATCTCTTTTAGAAACTTAGCATATGATGGCATTTGCTCTAAAGCTTCCGCAAAAGGGATATTGATGTGCAGCTTCTTAAAAATCTCTAAGAACTTAGAGAAGTTTTTCTTCTGTTCGCTCTGCTGTAACCTCTGAGGATAAGGAGCCTTAACATACGGGTTATCCCCCAACGCTTTCATTCTTTCTTCTAAAGAAGGCTTCTTTATTATTTTTTTACGTGGGGTGTCATTTAATGGTCCTCCAATAATTATGACATGATCATCAACTTTTTCTTCAGCAGGATTTTCCTTCTCTGCATCTTTTTCACTACTCGGTGCAGCTATTGGTATTTCCACACTTTCCCTTGTAATGATGGCATTACATTGTTCCTTGGGATTAATAATTGTATTACTAGGAAAGGTTCCTGGAGGCCTCTCAGCCATCTGTTTGGCAAGCTGACCAATCTGAATTTCCAG